TTAAAATTTATTATGGTGACATTAACAAAAGTTAAGTTTCAAGTGTACAATTCAACAGTAAGGCATATATATATATATTGCATTGTGTGTTCACCACCCCTAGTTAGATTTCTGTCACCACATATTTGACCCCTTTTACCCCATTTACCTTCTCCCTCACCCCCACCCTCTGATAACCACTAGTCTACTGTCCTTGTCCATGAGTCTCTGTTTGTTGCTTTTAGATTTATATCCCACATATAAGTGATGTCATGTGGTTTTCAACTTTTTCTGTCTGGCTCATTTCACTTAGCACGATTATCTCGAGGTCCATCCATGTTGTCGCAAATGGCAGTATTTCATCTCTTCTTATAGCTGAGTAATATTTCACTGTATATATGTATCACATCTTTTTTATCCAGTCATCTATTATAGGACATTTCGGATGCTTCCATGTCCTGGCCACTGTGAATAATGCTGCTGTGAACATCAGTGTACAAATGTCTTTTTAGATATGAGTTTTCAAGTCTTTAGGGTAAAGACCCAGTAGAGGGATTGCTGAATCATATGGTAGATCAATTCTTAGTTTTTGGAGAAACTTTCATACTGTTTTCCACAGTAGTCCTACCAACTTGAAGTCCCACAAGCAGTGTATGAGGGTTCCTTTTTCTCCCCATCCTCTCCAACACTTGTTACTTGTCCTGTTTATAATAGCCATTCTAACAGATATGAGGTGGTATCTCACTGTGGTTTTGATTGATCTCTAGTTTCAAAGCATTATGATCAGAGAATATGGTTGGAATGATTTCAGTCCTCTTGTTGAGGCTGGTTTTTTGTCTAGAGAAAAATGTATAAGCAGCTGTTTTGGGATGAAAGGCTCTGTAAATATCGATTATGTCTAGTTGGTCTAGTGTCATTTAAGGATGTTATTTCCTTACTGATTTTCTGTTTGGATGATTTGTCTGTACCTGACAGTGGGGTATTTAGGTCCCCTACTACGATAGTGTTTTGGTCTGTTTCTCCATTTAGTTATGTTAGTAATCGCTTTATATATTCTGGGATCTCCATTTAGTTATGTTAGTAATTGCTTTATATATTCCGGGATTGATTGTGAGCATAGATATTAATAAGTGTTATGTTTTCTTGGTGTATGATTCCCTTTATCATTATGAAGGATAATCATTTATTTATTTCTTCAATAATTACAATACATTTGAGCATATACAACCAACTGTATATACAACCTCAGTATCTTTCTTTACCTTTTTTATTTTGAAGTCTATTTTATCCGATATTAGTACCACTACTCCTGCTTTTCTCTGAATGCCATTTGCTTGGAATATCATTTTCCACTCTTATACTTTGAGTCTATTATTTGTCTTTGGAACTGAGATGTATCTAAAAATGCTTATCTTGATAATAAAGAAGTATATGGTATTATTTGTCCACATGTAACTGAATAAGGAAACTTACTAAAGAAAGAATAGCAAAAATGTTATATACTGTCCTTCCATTATTCATGCTAATTTGAAAGTCTGAAATATGAAGGCAACTTAGTATTTTCCAGTATGCACCACATTAGCTTTTAATTCATTAGCTGTCTTCTCTTACTGTCTGCTTTCTTGCTATGCTCTACATTTTATACTGGTGCTACAGAGATATCCAAAAGGATTATGCTGCCCCAGGAAATAGTCACAGGAAATAGTACTGCTATGAATTATTAATAGTATTGGCTTTCTAGTGCTTTAATTTCACCTCTTTGTTTCAGAGAAGGATATTAGTTAAGTGGAATTTTTATATCGCCTCCGGAGCTTAGTTTATTTTGTAGGAAACACTGACTTGAATTATAGAAAAGACAGTCCTGTGTTGATTTCCATGTCTGCATATATTGGATTCTCCATGTATTGCACTCCCTGATATCCTTGCTCAGTGATAGGTTAATAGGGCAGTTTTCCAGCTGAGCCCTTCAGAGCCCTTGGGGTTCCCTAGAGGTGCTTGAAGTGCAGTTGGGGGAGATTCTGTGCCCCACCCCCAACTATTCCCTTGTTTCAGAGAAGCACTTAACTTCCACTATAAACATTAAGCTTTTGTGCAAGATTATGTTGGAAGAAAGGATTGTTCTCTTTAAAAAGCTTTAAAATCCTCAGTTAATACAACAAATATAATATTAGGTATTTGTACATATTTGGGATAGTAAGAAAAGTGTCTACAGATTTTTATTCAATAATTACAATACATTTGAGCATATACAACCAACTGTGCACTGAACTTGACTGAGCTGGTGGCATGTCATGTGACTGGTGTCATAATACTCACCCTGAACTCTGGGTGAAGTCAGTGACCATGCTTGTTTATATAACGAACCAATTCCACAAATATACTTGGTTCACGTGCTTATATTCAGGTTATTAGGTCAGATCTATAAGCCTCCAACTTCCTTTAAGAGGATGAATATAGTCATTACTTGTGTTATTTCATAGGGGACTGTCGTGAGTAAAATATTTTATTTTCTATATTAAGAGAAACTATTTCTTTACCTTTGCAAAGACTGAAAAAAAAATGGAATGGTTTTGTTTCACATGAGGTAAAAATCAGAGTTAAAAGGTCATGCTTAGGGTTCCTTTGTGTGTGTGGACTGTGCAGGACCCTAGAAATGCTCTCTCCTTCCATGCCTGGAAGCTATAGACTAGAAGAAGGCAGGCAGGTAACATCAAAGACTTATTCATTTAGTATGTATTTATTGAGTGTTCACTATCACTGGCATAGTGCTAGATGTTAGGGATACGGTAGTGAATAAGACTCCACCCCTTCTTAGAATTTGTATTCTAATGTGGAGTAGGCACATAGTGAATACATAAGCAATTACATAAACATAGCAGTTATAGAATGAGATAACTCCCATGATGCATACAACAGGTTGAGAGCAGGGCCCTTTTTAGATAGATGGGCAATTTAAGAAGGGCCTCTGGGAAGGTAGAAACCCAAGTGCATTTTAGAAGGCCACAGCTGGCCTCTTTGCTGGCTGCTAGGGCCATAAAGGAATGGCACTTACTGTACTTGATAGCTAAATGTGTGCCATTTGCATCAAAGAATTAGAATGCTGTGGAAACCCTGAGGAGACCGATACAGTCAGTGACTGCCTGAAAAAGAACAGAAGAACACAGCACAGTTAAACACATAGATAGTAAAGGGAAGATGTCCAAGGACTGTACCTTAAGGAACCCCGGTATTAAGAGCTCAAGAAGCAGAGGAAGCAGCAGCAGAGAAGAAAGCATCCAGTGAGGTAGTAGAAATACTGAGAGAGCATCGTGTCCTATGTTCATTTTCTTGGTGATCCCATCCATTCTTAGGGCTTTCAATACTGTCTGCAGACAAATTCCTAATTTTATCTCCTCCAGCCAGACTCTTAGATCCAACTGCATATTCAACATCTCATTTAGCTGTCTAACAGACATCTCAAACTTAACATTCCAAAACTGAACTTCTGACCTTTCCCCAAAAGCTGTTATTCTCCTATCTCAGTAAATAACAACACTATCCAACTATTTTTTAAACCAATAACCCTACTGTCATCCTTTAGTCCTCTCTCTTTCTCACACCTACATTCAATCTGTCAGCATTCAATCTTTTGTACAGCCTTTCAAAATATATCCAGAATCTGATCACTTGTCACCACCACCACTGCTACGACCCTGGGCAGGTTACTTAACTCTTCTGTGTCTCTCTCCTTATCAATAATTTAGGAGTTAATTATGGACTACAGCTTACAGGGTTTATGTGTGGACTAAAGGAAATAGTATATGTAAAGAACTTAGGACAGTCCCAAGCAAACAGTGTATAATAAATGTTAGCCTCTATTATTTCTGGCCTTTTAGAAGACTTCAAAGAGATTTGACTTGTAAAATTGAAGCCACCAGCTCCTTTTCATAATAACTAAATGTTATTCTTCAACACATGCAGTTTCCATTTTTAAGATTTCAACTAAATGAGTTAAAATGTGCTACTGTGTCATAGCTTAGCTTCTGAAAAAGAAGAAAATTTACCTTTCCCAGGAAAACTGTTCAAGAACCGAAGAAAGTGTTATATAGCACAATGGCAATTTGAATCATTAGAATTCTCTAGCCTAGAAGTAATTTTCAGCTAATCAGACTTTAGCCTAGAAAATATTTTTAATTCAAGGTTATATGCAATAGTTATACATGATAATGCACAGCTGTACACAGCACTAGCTTCAGAACCTGAAAGGACTTTGGGAATATGAAGCAAGTCACAGAATGTTTCTAACAGCTGGGATAACTGCCATCACTTGTATAAAATGGGCTCATTATTAACATCTAATCCTGCTTAATCTGTCATCTCAATTATTAATAAGTAGAAAGATTCTGGAAAATCCTTAACAGTATTATATGAGCTGTCAACTATATTACAGTAAGCCCAAATTATATAGGAAGCATCTCAGGAAGTACCCAAATGCATAAATTAGACACATGGATATTGCTAATAAGAAAAACTGTGAATTGCTCTATATAAGCAGAAAAATAGTTTCAGATCATTTAACTTGTCCCTTTAATTCAGCTACTTTGCTAATATATCTGGTAAGATGGTGTTTGAATAAATAAGAAAATATGTTCATCTGATTTCATCTACCATGTGCTGGGTAATAAGTAAAAACAAAAGTGAATTATTTTTATTACTTACCTCTTTGTAAAATATTTTAATCCTTTTGTATATAAGAGGGATTGGATGTTTTAAGAGGGGTAACATGACCCCAATATGAAATCAGTAGTTGACTATGATTGATTTATTATTAGTTTTTCTTTGTCCATATTTAATTATATATTAAACTTTTATTCTGATGCATGATATATACACAATGGAAAAACCTCACATTTCATGTTATATGCAAAAGTTACTTAGTAAAAATAAACTCCATTGTTACCTATTGTGGGATCATTTTAGCTAGAAGTAGTCTATATATATTTTACATGCTGATTTTTATTTATTTGTTTTTTTTTTTCCAGGAAGTCCTGGCTGAGCAAGGTCGGAAGTCCAAGTTCTCGCATTGACCGCACAGACTTTTCTAATGAAAAAACCATCTCTAAACTTGAATATTCTAATTTTAGTATTCGTTACTAATAGAAATAAAAATTATGTTTATAGAGCACAATAGACACTATATTAAGTCTATATACTAGGATAATAGTAGCAGAGTAGGGTAAGAAAAGAACTGTTCTAGAAGCTATAACATATATATTATTAAAAAATGTAATACTGAAATAGTTTTACTAAACTGTTTTTAACAAACAAAAATATTAGTATCTGAAAGTAAAAAATGTCATTACAAAATATTTAATGTAAATATTTAATTTAAAATTGTCTCATGAAAACTTTAATTCTAATAAATATAGTATACATCTGGCTAGTTTTACTCAACTATGTTTTTAACAAGCAAAAGTTAAGTATCCTAACAAAAATTGTTAAGAAATATTTAATATGAATATTTAATTTAAATTTGTCTCATGGAAACTAATTCTAATGAATATTATAGCATACATGTTATTTGGCTAGACATAATAAAGTTAACCATTTAAAATTATTTTTAGGTACTGTTGTATGAATTGAATTCTATAACCTTCCAAATAATTTATTACTAAAGTTGAGTAATTCGTTTAATAACAACGAAAAGAACCAGTAGTTGGAAATAAATCTATATTCAGTATAACCATGAAATATCAATAAAGAGTTAATTTTTAAAATTCTGGTTAAATGAAAACATAATTCAGTACTTGAATTGTAGCTATTTAATGCTTTCTATGAATTATACTGTTCTGTATAGTGAACAGGTAAGTGATGGCAACTGATAAGAACCCACAATTTCAGTAGAGCAAGTAGCAACTTTTTTTATCAGCAACAATTCATGATGGATATCCTATTAACCAGAAAAGGAACTGAGAGTCTAAATAAATTATTCTATCCCCCAAACTTGACCTATCATTTCATAATTTTCACATGTAAATGATAATTAAGCAACAGTATTTTAAGGGGAAAGTTCATTTCTATCCCATAGAATTACACTATTGAAAAAGGAGACCTTTAACTTAAAATACTGGGGAATTTCAAATGTTGTACGTATATACTTGCATATATCCTTTGGTGATTTCAAAATTTTCAAAACAATGGAATCCTTCATTAATAAAATTTTACCTGGAATGTAATACATAAAGCAAGTGAAAAGACACAACCAGTATGACTGAAATGAAGATGGGGTTCCCTGGAACCCTGTACACTTGGTCTCACTTTTCCTCTTGTATCTTGTCCTCCTTAAACAATTTCAAGTCCCTTAGGAATACAGGTTAGAAACCACCATTCTATCTATGGAACAAATCTCCACAGCCACACTCCATGGCATGGAGAAAGAACTCAAGCCTCTCTCCTCTACCTGCTGCAAGATGAAAATCTGAGAGAAGGAGATGAAGGGTGGGCTGTGTTCACTTGAAAGGTTAAACTCTATGGATGATGAAGGTATCGATACCAAATATAAATGACAATATATTAGAGAATGTCAAAGATATTTTTTGATACTTAAAGGAATAAAGAACTTTCCTATTTTAATACCATATTAGAGAATGTCAAAGATATTTTTTGATACTTAAATAAAGAACTTTCCTATTTTAATACCACCATCATGTTAAGTATGATATGTGTTGAATATTATACAGGAGAATCTATTGTGATACTCATTTGAGTTCTGTGCTCCTTGTATTTCCTCACTCCTGGTTCAAGGAAGGTAGACAAATCTTTGTGTTCTCTTACCTCAGGGAGGTTTTTGGTGCCAGATCCCCTGAAGACAACTTTCCTTCCAAGGTTTCATTTTAAAGAGGGCATTATGTTGAGTTGAGGAGAAAGACAAATACTAGGCCTTTAGCAGGTAAGAGATGGAGAAGTGACAAGAGCCAAAGAGACAAGGAAATTACTCCAGACTTTGGAAAGAGACCAAAGATGTGAATTTCTCAAGAGATGGAGACCTGCACCATTCTCCCCAGTGGCACCTCTGGGGGATGTTTTAACCTGAGAAGGGAGCAGCTGTTGTGGTACATCTAGAGAATCTGGATCCCAGCCCCAGCAAGATTCCTGTCCCCAGAAGTGCTAACAACAAGGAACTGTGGTGGTTTGGACAGCAATCAGGATAACTAGTATGGACTGGAGACCAGAAAGTCTTTTCTGAACTCTCTGCATAGACCCTTTACATGGCCCTTTTGAGATACCTGGATACCTAAGATTTAATTTCCTACCTCCCAGACAGGATGGAGATTGAAGCAGGATCAACTTGCACATACAAGTTTGAAAAAAAAAAAAAAACTCTCTCTTTATATATAGAAAGGCTAAGTAATTTTTGAAAAATATCTCAGATGTGACACCAATATGTCACTTTTTATTACCCTGATATCCTCTGATAATTCCCAGCTCTCTTCATAAAGAAATCACACTTTACTGGCACGATCATCTAACTGCCCAAGTGAATCACATTAGTCAAGGTTGCTTAATGATTAATACATAACTAAATTCTATTACTAGATGAAAAATGTAGATAATGATCAAAAGTAGATGTTCACGAATGGGTAGAAAACGAGAAAAAAAGGTAAAGCAATTTTAAAAATGTGTTAAGAGACAAAATACATCTTAACATTAAACTTAATAAGTCAAATTTCATCTGAAACTTACACGGAATTTTTAATTTATGTATCCTACTTTTGATAACCTTGATAGGTTTAGTTTTGTCAGAATTAGACATTAAAACCCAAGAAAAAAATTAAGTAAAAGCTAGTTCAGTGACTATCAGCCAGAAATCTCAACACTCCACAGGCCCACACCCTCCTCTGGAACCAGCATATCGAATTATGCTGATATGATTTGTAAAACCAGGCATTTCCTATTCTCTTGATTACTTCTGTCAAGCCAGTGTGGCAGGTATACTTTACCTTTAGTCATTTCCATTGAAACATACATACTTTATGAAAACTATTGGAAATAAATTCTTATTTTTCATAGTGGTCTCCATAAAGGTCCATGGTAGCTTTTTATTTATTTTTTACTGGCATAAAAACAGACTACATATATAAATGGAACAGAATAGAGCCTAGAAATAAACTTATGCATATTGGGTCAATTAATCTATGACAGTGAAGGAGGGAACAGTTGCGGGTAGGTGGGGAATAGAGACGCTGACTTTGCTCGAATCTGGTCACCATTTTTACAACTAAATATTTTCAACTTCATCTACCGAAGAAATTTTTCAGAAGCACGTATTTCTACATTCATAGAGACAACAGAACAAAATGATCCACTTTGGAAAATTAACTTGAATTTGGAAGTAGATAATGCACAAATATATTTCATATAGTAGCTCTCTCTCTGACCTCCACTAATATAGATATCAAAGAATGTTCACTACTTGGCTAGAAGGAAAAAGTTTTCATGTCTGGAACTAGCAATAGGAACTGAAAAGAGGCAGCATGGTGTGGCGGAGAATATTCAGGTCTAGGAATCAGAAGACCTGCATCCTGGGCCCAGCCTAACTGTTAATTAGCTGTGTGCCTAGGTGCCCTCAATTGCAAAGTCAAGAATTTGGACTATATTGGAAATTTTCATGGGATTGCAGTAAGCCAGAGGCCTCCCAGGAGGTGGTGCGGGGAAAACTGCTGAAGGGCCACGAGAAAGATAGGCAGAGGAGGACCCCAATCCCTGCTCCAGTCAGAGCAGCCCTACTCTCATCTCTTTCAGATATTAGGATTCTCCATAAGATATCTCTTGAGAAGAATTCTGCCTCAGAGAAACAAACAAAAGCAAACAACAACAAAAACAGAGTTTAGTATCTGGGGTCTTTTCAACATTTCTATAAATGCTTAATGCAAATGCATTTCCTAGTCTCTTGATTACTTCTGTCAAGCCAGTGTGGTAGGTATACTTTACCTTTAGTCATTTCCATTGAAACATGCATACTTTATGAAAACTATTGGAAATAAATTCTTATTTTTCATAGTGATCTTCATAAAGGTCCGTGGTAGCTAAAATATTTCTTAAATTTTTTGGTTGTCTTTTGTTGCTATGCACATAGACATACACATACATAATTAGTGGCTTAATTAAAAGGTGTTTTGTAAGCATATCTTACAGATTTTAACCTAACATTTAGAATTATGTGTAAGAGATAATTTTCATTTTTCTTAACTGATTCAAATGATTTTGAATAAAACAAGTCTGATTAAGAATTTTAAAATTTAGAATTGAAAAGTCTACTGAGTGATCTCATTAGCAGGTTTTTCTAAAGAAAGTGGGTTTTTCCCTCTTTTAGAGAGCGTGATTTGTGCTTTCTCCTCTGCTAGAAGGTTAGTATACACTCTTGGTTATATGTCAGATACTTCTTTTATCCTTGAACTACATTTTTCCAGTATTAGTTTTATTTTCTATGTTGGCACAATGGATGCTACAAGTAATTGTGGATACAAGCCTCCAAGATGGCTTCTTTTTTTCCCTCTCCTTTCTCACTTTACAAATACTAGAAGAGGCACAATAAAGAAAGAATAGATTCAGGAGATTCATTGTATTGGAATGGAGTTTCTATTTCAAAACAATTCTAAAAAGCGAGGATTACAAGCAGTTATTTGTTCATTGACAAGCATCAAAGCAGAATTTCTACTGAATTCAGGGCAGATTAATCTGAATTAAGAACATGCCTGCAATTTTTAACCAGGTAATTGGCATAAAGTGGGTAGATACTATGTACCATTATTTCTGAGATGCAGAATCTACATCAACCAAAAAAAAAGGGGGAACAAAAACTTCTACTCTGCAAGTACTATTCTGAGGTAGCAAAAGACAAATCACCCTTCTCTCTTTTCTCTGATCTCAACTGCCACTCTTTCTCCATTGATAGGGATAACATAACTCCTAAATCGCAGCACACAGGAAAGAGAACACAGGTAGTGGCTTATTGGATAGTCCCATTACTTAAAGCGCGGAAGTCGAGGCAAGTAGCTTCATAAGTGTTTGTTTTATAATGTTTATACTTTATAATTATTTTATGTATCCTTTTACATGTATAATGTATCTCATAATTTAAAAAAAAAAATTAAGACTCCTAGAAATCTCACAGCAAAACAGCAACGAAATACTAGATTAGGACAGATCAACCATTCTAAGGCTTTAGACCCGAGAAAGATATCCTCTGTTGGCGAATACCAGTATATAATCATACTCATTAAAAGATGAATAAACAGGAAACAAAAATCAGCCTTAAAATTTTAAAGAGAACGATAGCCAAAGTGAATGGCACATTATCCTTTAGAATCAGGGAATTACAAATCTCTAAAAGTTACTGTAAGAAAATATAAAATTTCTGGAAACATATGCTTATGTCCTCAATAGCATGTAATGAAAGTTGATCTTTGAAAGAAGTGCAGAGAGCCATGTATAATGTATCTCATATTTAAAAAAAAAAAATTAAGACTCCTAGAAATCTCACAGCAAAACAGCAACGAAATACTAGATTAGGACAGATCAACCATTCTAAGGCTTTAGACCCGAGAAAGATATCCTCTGTTGGCGAATACCAGTATATAATCATACTCATTAAAAGATGAATAAACAGGAAACAAAAATCAGCCTTAAAATTTTAAAGAGAACGATAGCCAAAGTGAATGGCACATTATCCTTTAGAATCAGGGAATTAC